GTCGCCACCTTCTCCTCCGCTCCAGCATTGTGACACATTCTGTAGAATTCATGCAGCGGCAACTAAACTCACAAAACATAAGTCATCATTCCGATATGAAGATGCCTAATTGAGTACTTCTACTCACAATGAGTCGAGGGTCCCTCTCGATCTCGGCCTTGACTGTGGCAAAGGCCACGCTCTCCTCCCTTGCCCTGCGATCGTCCATTGCAGCGACGTCGCTCTCCACCAACACGTTCACGTGGTTGAGTCTCAGACAAAAAGGCATGGACGTGAGCTCGCCCAGACGCACAGTACGAGCGAGCTTAGTGCCGTCCGTTGTAGCTATCTCCACGGCCTTCAATGAGGCATCAGCATGTCGCACTGCCTCAATTAGATCCTGGACACTCGCGTTCGCGTCGTCCAGCCCCAACCGCGTGAGGCCCATGACCCCCGGAAGTGGCAGAAGCACGTCCAGTTGCCCATGCGAGGTGGCAGCATTCCGGACACTGATTAGAGGCGACGTCGAGTCGCTAGACGAGGAGACGGATGCTCCCGTCTGAGAGCGCTCTGCTGCGCGAGTGCGTAGAGATCCCGTGCTGGAGTGGAAGGAGGCGAACGGGAAACGTGCGCATGGAGCACGCAGCAGCACGGAGCGGAGAGATAGCGACGCCATTACGGAGCAGACTGTACTCAGGAAGACAGAGTGACGATAGTGCGATCCTTGAATTAGGAATCCGGATAAAAATCATTATCCGGACAATAACTGATATGTATACTTGAAACCTCATTAAAAAAAATATTGTTTCTTCCTCTTTTTTTTTTTTTTTTTTTACATTTATTGCTCACGTTTTGCTTGGAATCAAAAGATCCGATGCTAGCTTCGCTAGTGTCTCCATTGTGGAGTAGTCTTTAGTAGAAATATTGTTGTGCGTGTTGCCGTCAAGAGCGCACAAGTTTCCGATTACCTCCCCACCCGGTGCTCGCAATGGAAACCCGGCATAAAATTTAACCCCGAGGTCGTCAACACACGGCATTTTCGAGAACCGCATATCACGCTGCGGATTCTTGATCACGAGTGGTTTCTCCGCGTAAACGGAATGCATACATGGAACTTCGTTGCGGGGTAGATGGAGAGCTTCCGAGGGGAGATTGTAGTTCCCCACAGCGTGGAATTGCTCGTCATCGATCATAGACACGACGCCGATGGGGCATCCAAGACGCTTGGCTGCCACCTGCGCGATCAGGTTGAGAGCAGAGCGGTCGTAGTCGGACTGCAACGCGCCTGAACTTTTGATCAACTCAACACGACGCGCATCCTTCTGAGCTTCAGGCTTTGGTGCCAATGGAATATCTTCATGTGTGACTTGATTCGCGTCGAATTCGTATTTGTAATCTCTCGTCCGGTCACTGACGTCACACGTTTGTATGCTGGAATTCAACTGGGCTTTTGCGAGTTCCTCATTCAAGTGGCTCTCAATGTTCGATAAGACATGCTGCACTTGGGACTTTTTCTCCGTGCTTCTTGAAGACGTCACAGTCTCTAACGATGAAGAACTCGACGGCTTAGCCACAAGTTTGCCTAGCTGTTCCAAGGCCTGACTCCGGGCCTCAGGGTCGTCCGAACACAGTTGTCCCATCAGATCATTATCCTCCCACCCCTGTGTCTCCTCATCAATTGGCAACCAGGCATCCGACGGAGTGTCCACGATAATCGGACCCAAAGCTGCCAGTAAATCCTCGTCGTCAAACTTACACGCATCAACACGTACCACACACAATCGACAGCATCGATTCTTCCGGATTTCACCGATGCGAGCTTCCACTTCGTACAGTTCCGAGCAATCTCCACACACCATGTGACCACAGAGTTGACAATAGAAATCGCGACGGAAGAAGTGGAACGTCTTGTTGCAGATCAAACATCGCTTCTCCATCAGCGGGTCTGCGTATTCCTTGGGAAAGTAGATGAAAGACTGGAAACCAAATCGTCGACGGCGAATCACTCGCTCGAATTGGGACAACGATTCGGTTAGTATCCGCATGATATGACGTGCCTCCGGGTTCATTAACGTGACACGACGTCGCGCCAAGTCTTCAGGCTGGGCCTCGGGGTTGTCCGTTAAATCCTTGGTAAAACTTCGAGTGGATTTATCCGAAGCATACGCGTGTGTAAATATCTGAGTACACTGTCGATTGCTTCCTCCACTACTTGAAATAAACTGCAAGTCGAAGCCAACTCCAATGTGGTCGATCTCGCGGCGTAAAGGCGAGCTATCAGCAACCGGTAGGATCTGATCGTAAACCTCTTTCGGTACTGTTTTCATTAGATGCACCGCGCGTTTCTTGTCGGAGTATTGGTGCGTGTAGGTCGAAAAAACGAGCTGGTGAGTTCGGCTGTGGCGAGACCGAAGACGCGTCTTTAAGCTCACATCGGGACGCATTGTAGATGACGTGACGGAGATCACTCCAGTCTTTTCTTCATGTTGGCGACCAGAGTCGATAGCTATACGTTGGTGGAACAGTACTTCACCTTTCTTAAACTGCTTTCCGCATAGAGATTTCATTGTGGAGTCGTAGCCATCTGAGTCTTGATGCAACAGCACGCTTAGAGCTTCGTTCAAATGGCAACGAAGCTCCGTTTTGGCTGCCAT